GAGTCTTGGTTGTTTGTTCTCAGCACAACATCAGAGAATTCGGGAAACTAGCAAGCTAACTTCCTGCTAACTTCCTGCTAACTTCCAACTCCATGGATGCCTGGATGTTAAACTTAATTGTTACACCTGGTAAAGCAGCAGCACATTTTATTAAAGACCGTTCGTAACTCTTAGTGAAGCCGCAGTGTCCTGAAGCATAGTTTGGGCCCAGAAACAGCTAATGATGTCAGACTTAAAGACTGGATTAAACCTGAAAATGTATTCACATGTTGATTGCTTTATTTGAGACCTGCTGTGGTGTGCAGAGGCACAATAATAAAGATGGTATCTCTGTCCAAATACTTACCCGACTGGAAGGAGTACAGTGCAGTACCTGACTCTGGTCGGTCTCTTTCCCCAAGCAGCTTATTCTTCTTCTTCTCATAACACAGAGCAAGCTGGTGGTGAATGAAAGATGACTGGCTTTTCTTCTCCAGCATACTCTTCAGCAGATCGATAGACTCATCCAGCTGATCCTAGAACAGGGACGAGTCACGGTAACGTTGGAGAGACGAGACGTTAGAAGCATAAAACCAATATTTTATCTCGAGTCCCTTGATTCACCATCAAGACCAGTATGTTTTTCCTATAAGCTACAGATGTTTTACCTGGTTGCGGAGATATTTTGCTACGTAGCGGGTGACTTGAGTGTCGTCCTGTCCGACTTCTAGGGCCTTCTTCACCAAACCTTTAGCCTCTGTGTGTTTGTTCATGTCGTGGACCAGCTTCAGAGCCAGCAGGGACATCAAAACGCCATCATCTGGATTTTTTTCCAGGGCTCGACGAAGCTGTTTAGTGGCTGGTGATTCCTCAGGATACCAATCATTAACATTCTGAAGATAAGAGCTCCATAAGTTTGCTGAATGTAATTTATTTAATGGGTCTCAAAGAATCAACAACAACACGACTACAAAGTTATTGACTACAATGGTTAATACAGGAGAATCCTATGGACTGTCTGCGTCAGCAGGATAACTGCATATATGCTAAACCGAAAGGCTGATTGGCTGATAGATTGTACCTGTTCTGTGCGATAGAGGACGATAGCATAGCCAGTGTTCCACTCCCAGTCATCAGGCTGCAGCTCCAAAGCTTTGCAGAAGCATTCTTCAGCTTTGGTATAGTAAGAATGGGAGAACTTAAGAAAGGTCCAGCCCTTCTCCCCGTACACCTCTGGATGGAGGTCAGTGGAAGAATCAGGCGGATGCTTCACCTGCAGAGTCACAGTATATTTAACAGAAATAGACTTGATTGCAGCGAATTCTTTGACAGTGTCTGAACATTTATCAACTTTTCAGCCAAGAAGCCACAAATGCACAAACTAGTCTAGTTTGTCTGTTATATGCAGTTTATGTTTCAAATGTTATAGTTGTCACAGAAATATCCTGAAGTGTTTGGTTGCTAAACTGAAAAGATGGTCTGATATCCATACATATGGTCCAGAAAGGAATCATGCAACACTTTTGAACTTCTCTTGTTTTGTTTGGCAGTGTGCTCTAACAGGGTCTTCATGCAAGTGAGTGATCGCAGGTTTGGATCCTGTAGAAACACCTCAGGTAACCTGATGGCTGCACACTCTGTGGTCCAATAACAGATCTAACATGGAGCTGTCACATTTCTCTTTATATTAAACTAACGTGGAGGTTTAGCTGTTGTCACTCTTGGCTGATTTCCAGTGTTTATGCAAAGCTAGGGCGCTTTCACAATATAATAATAATGGATTGGATTTATACAGCGCTTTTCAAGGCACCCAAAGCGCTTTACAATGCCACTATTCATTCACTCTCACATTCACACACTGGTGGAGGCAGCTACAGTTGTAGCCACAGCTGCCCTGGGGCAGACTGACAGAGGCGAGGCTGCCATATCGCACCATCAGCCGCTCTGGCCAACACCAGTAGGATAAAGTGTCTCGCCCAAGGACACAACGACCAGGACAGAGAGCCCAGGGATCGAACCGGTGACCTTCCGGTTACAGATACGCTTCCCAACCCCCTGAGCTCGTTCTCGTGGAGTTGTGAAACCTCATCAGTGGCTGTACTGTTCCAGTTCAAACATCAAAGTCAAGTACGCTCAAAGCGCCTCGATGTATTCCCGCTCCGCCCATTCCATCGAGCAGGCAACGTTGTGACTTGTGTGGGCCTGCCACAGCCAAATATCCCAGAATGCATTTTGTCCAAAACTTAGCGGCAGCATCGGAGAAGAGCAGCGAGTAACGTTTGAAATATGACTGTTTCTGTGACACAGAATAAACAGTCGATTTGTAAACATCAAATATCTGCTGCATTTATCAACACGTCACCTTTTTGCACCGACTGTCAGGTGACCGGAGGTTGAGGCTCACTAGAGCCAGTGAGACTCCCAGCACATTGTTTTCATTTTGATGATTTCTAAATCTTTGTGTTTGGATTATTTCAGCTTTTTTGTTGTCTTTTGTTTTCTTCTTCGTTTTTGCTTCTGAGTAAATCGGTTTGACCGAGATTAAAGTTAAACCCCAGAAAATGTTTCATCATCATCAGGTGACTTCTTCAGCCTCAGCTGACAGCAGGCTTCAACCTTATAAACAGGACATAATGACTGAAACCATTGACGAACCTTGGGCTGCGAGGTCAGTTTATGATCATTAATATGCAAAATGTCATGTAAAAAATTAAATCTAACATTAAAAATATTTTCATTCAGTTTCTGGAAACATCTGGAGCAGCTGTTCATGGATACCCTGACGCTCCAGAAATGATGAAATGATGTGTTGAACATGTGTTCAGTGATCGTCCACTCCACAGCTGACTATTATACGTTTTGAGGGTCAAAGAAAACCAAATCCTTCGAACGTCCGACCTGTTTTCGTTCAGTGGCAGCACAAGCTGTGCGTACGATGTTTGTAAGAGAGATGAAGTTTGTGTTTCGGTGACAGTCTTTATGAACATCTCAAAGTCTGGATATTATAACAGCCATGAAGGCTAAAGGCAGGGGTTCTTTAGATGGTTATTGTTATAGTCAGCGCCTCTCGATTCATAGCAGCGTTTATGGGTGGGTGTTAAAGAGGGTGTGGGTGGGTGTATACGTGCCAGTATATCCTCGACTCGCTGACAGTAAGTCTGGGACTGTTCGTAGTCTTCGGTGTGGTATTTCAGCCAAGCCAGGTCTCCGTACGTCACGATGAGCCGCAGCTCGCTCTCCCGTCCGTAACACTCCCTCGTCTTCTCCTCTGATTCAGTGAGGAGCGACAGCGCCTCCTCTGGTTTACCCTGAAGGTACCTGAGGATGGACAACAAACAGGAATAACTCGCTGTGCTCCAGCGTCTTCAGGGTTTTGACACGTCTTTGTACCTGTAAAGCCATGAAACTTTGCGGCGCAGCGACATTAAGAGTAATTGCTCGCCTGACTTCACCCACACATGAACTTCCCACTCGTGATCCAAGGGGTTTAATACGATGGCAGCCCTCCAGCTTCAGCGTTTCTGGGAAGGACTTCCACAGGCTTCGGAGCGTTTATGGGAATTTTTGATCATTCTTTCAGAAGCACCTTTGTGAGGTCACACTGTGCTGTTGTCCTAGCAACCACCAAACCCAGACTCCAGAGAAGCGTGATTGGTCGCTCCAGACAACACGTCTCTAGAGCTCGGCGTGCTTCACGCATCGATGCTTGGTGATGTAAGGCTTGCATGCAGCTGTTCGCCATGGAAACATATTTCCTAAAGCTCTGTACGCAATGTTGACGTTTGGAGGTGTGCACTGACTCTGCACTACGATCCTCACTGACCCCGCTCCACTTCCTCCCAATCTCCTCCAGCTTGTTCTAATCCCACTAACAGTCGGCTAAAGAGGAAAGTTCACGCCTGGACAGGTGACATCCTATCACGGTTAAAAGCTGGAAATTCACTGAGCTCCTGGGAGCGACCTAGGTGCTGATTTTCTACACCTGTGGACATGAAAGTGAAGCGAACATCTGAATGCAGTGACTTGGATGGGTGAGTGAATATTTTTGGCAATAATGTAAAAACCCAGCTTCACAGAAGCAACTTGCACAGTTGAATCTTGTTGTTTTCCATCTTTGTTGCTATTTTGTGCCCAATTATGATGATTTTATCTTTGGATGTCCCACAAACGAAGGCTTTTAGCTGAGGCTTCCTGTTCAATGCTCTGCACTGCTTACCTCACATAAGACAGGAACCTGTAGGAGTGGGCCAGGGCGCCCCGCTGCCCCAGTTGCAGGTCTATATCATGCTGCAGCTGCTTGCTAAGGTCGTCCAACTCCAAGTCTTCCTTCTTCAGATCCCAGGTGAAGCGACTCTGCAGCTGCTGCAGCCTGCGGTGTAGATCGTTACCTGGATCACTGCGTAAGACAAAACACATTCTCAATATAGTAGCAAGTGTTCACAAACATGAACAATTTAATAGTTTCTTAGGAGTATTTATGGTTTTATTTTGTGAAAACTGACGGAAAACAAATGTGCAGCACATGGAAGCAACATAACGAGATTGTGTTAATCTCATTGTTAGTTTTTGAACCTCTTCAGCATGTTTGAGAAACAGAACATGCGGATCAGTCCAAATTCAAAGATCCTTGTGTCCTAATTGTTCTGTTATTTGAGGTTATGGATGTTATTTGACTGGAGGCGCCATTACTCCAATGAGTGTCCTTTATTATTTTTCAATTGTAAAAATAGTAACAGTAACAGACTAAACTCCAAACATTATGTTACAGATTCTAATATTAATTAGTCATTGTTAGTTGTTGATTTGTCCTGTTCTCATTGTATAACGAATTATGATGGCTGTTTGCATACTATGCACACTCTCTCTCTTCATATGTGTGTTTCTCTGGTGAAATTCAGTGTGGTTCCGACAACAGTTTTATGTTAATGTACAATCCTTAATATGTTTTATGTGTGTGTGTGTGGGGGGGGGTGCCAGAGGGAGTGTTCGCCCGGGGCACCAAACAGGCTAGGACCGTCACTGGATGCGGGTGGGTGTATCTGGGAGCACCAGTCCACAGGCCTGGTGGGTGTGTCCTGCCCGTTTGGCTGGCCACACATGAGGAAGATGATCACACACAGCTGCAGCTCGAGCCTTGTCGGGAGCTGCGGTGGAGCTCGCTCTGCTGGATCGTTGTGCCAGTCAGTTTCCCAGCTTCATGTCTGTGAGCTCGCTGGCATGTGAAGTATTAACGTCTGTCTCTGTGTGGAGACGAGAGGGCAGCGAGCACGGATACACGGACACTAGTGTTAGGAAAATACATTTTCTAGCGCTTATTTGCTGTGCGTTTTGTTTTATGCATTTAATAACAGACCAGTATATTAAAGGCCACCTTTGAGTTATAAAGGTCATTAGATTGTTGAGCAAGACTGAAAACTGCAGAACAGGAAGCTTTGTGCAGAGAGCATCGCCCACGTTTGTCCTGGTAAAAGAGAACAACAGGAAATGACCTTTGGGTTGTAAAAACTAGAGTGCAGATGTTTTTGCAGCTGTGTAGCAGACATGTTGAATTAAAATCGATAAAGTGACGGTTTGGAGGGGAGGAGGGAGCAGACTATATTATACACATCTGGCCTGTAATGCTTCAGATCTGCAGATGCTTAGCACCGTGCACATCTCCCTTCTGGGAGGTAATGATTGAATAAAATGATTATAAATACTGTGGCCACTCTCAGTCTGCGTCTTCTCTGTCCGGCCTGAAGAATCAAAGAAGCTGGGACAATACTGGGAAGCAGAGTGTTGGTGCACAGACACTGGGAGAAAACACTGCACAGGAGTCGGACAGCACATGGAGATTTATTGTTGTGATTTAACTTTATTTACACTGTAAATAAAGACACTGCTTCATTGCAAGAGTCCTGCATTTGGGTCCTCATTCCCCACATCAATCATCACATATTAATTAATAAACTGGAACAGGATCAGGCGGGTTGTAATGCACTGGGTGAATATTTCTCATCATGCTTGGACTTTGCATGTGGTGTTCCACAAGGCTCTGTACTGGGTATTAAATTATTTATTATTTATATCAATTATATTTGTAAGGTATCTGATATATTAAAATGAGCATTATTTGCAGACGACACAAATATTTTTTGTGTTGGGAGGAATCTAAAGTAACAAACAAACAAATCTAAGTAAAACTACAATCGTCTTATTTGGGAAACACACAAGTGCAGATTCATGCAGATGGTGTGGAAATTGAAAGAGTTCTTGAACAAAAGTTTCTTGGTGTGATAACAGATGATCAATTAAGCTGGAAGTCTCATATAAATAATTTACATAACAGCATTTCAAGCAGTATTTAAATTGTGAGTAAAGTAAAACCATTCTGGGCCACAGATCACTCCACAGTCTCTACTGTTCACTGACCGTGTTTGCATTGCTGTGCAGATACGGTGCAACAAATGTTCGCCATCATCAATCTGTATGTTACAAAAAAGGGCCGTGAGGATAATCCATAACACCGGTTACAGAGATCATACAAATCCACTATTCTAAAAATCAAAAAATACTAAAATTCACAGATCTGGTTCATTTTTTCACGGCACAAATTATGTATAAAGCAATAAACAACCTGCTTCCTGACAATATTCTAAAATGTTTTTTTAAAGGGAACGGGGAATTAAATAGAGAGAGATGGAGGTTTCAGAAGCTCAAAGATGACACAAAGGGAATCACAGGGTTAAGATCCCTTTGTTTGGGTCCTATTCCCGCCTGCACACACAAGACACACTGATGGTTTTGAGGAAGTAATTACTGATGCATGTGGTTAGTATTGAGCTGTAGTGTTATGAGCAGTACAAAGACAGACAGCAAATAAAACTGGTTTCTGAGTTTTTTAAATCTCAGAAAAAGTGTTTTGAGGATTCTGACAGTTGGAATCCCAACATCAAAACGTCCTGATGATTTACGAGCCGAGCAAGCTGCAGCCTGAAGCAGTCATATCTGGGCATGCCCACCACACCCACACTGATGTTCAGCCTGGGAACTTCTCTCACTGACACCTCTGCTTCTCATTTAAATGCATTTTTTCTGCATTTAAATCATTTGTGATTCATACAGTTCCACACATCTGTGTGCATGCAAACCCTCATATCTATGTACTATTATTTCCTCAGTCTGTGTTGGATATCGTGAGTATATGTACATAACAAATAAATCCTGAAATAAAGACAAAAACACTCACCTCATTTTAATCATTAAGGCTCGGACACGTTGGCACAAAGCGTACTGGATGTGCAGCAGTTTGCAGCAATATGAAAGAAGTAATGGTGCGTTCAGTATCACCTCTGACAGGACAATGGCAATAATTAATCAGAGTGAAGCAAACAGAAGGTTTTTCTTTCAGCCGTGAGGTCACCAAAGAAAATTCAACATTTAACCCATCAAGGTCCTGAGGCCCGCAGACACTTCCTGTCTATGACGGAGGTTTGGGTTGTGCTTTGAAGATCGTTTTTTTCCTACAACACCTGAATGCACCACAGACTGCTTACCTTTCGTTTCATCTTCATCACCACACAAACATAAATGTGAGAAAGCTGCTTTCAAAGACACAGAGACACGAGGGGAAAATCAGCATTTGATGAACCAGGAGCAGCAACGGTGGCCCTGAGCTGCAGCTCAGCATCAGCATCAGAGGATGCTCACTGCAGCTCCAGGCGCAGCTCGCACACGGCACACAGGTACTCTTCATTGTCCTCGTCACAGTTCAGAGCTTCCTCATAAAACTCAGCAGCCTTCTTCCTGTCGCCCTCAGCTCTGGCCACCAGGCCCAGCAGAGCGAGCGCCTGACCATCACGCCGCGTCTTTGTCAGACGTCTGTCAGCGATCTGCTTCAGTCTCTGCAAGAAAAAACACGGAGGAACAAAGAAAGATGGATTTCTGTGTATTTAAAGTAAGTGACTACTACATTCAGTGTCTCTCTGTGACCTGTGGACTCTGTGATCTGTGGACTCCCCACGCGTTGCTTTTACCGTAACGGTGCAGTTTGACATGACAGATTTAGAGTGTGAGGCTTGTTTCATGCTGCATTCATGACAAACAGCAGGGCTCCACCTTCTTCTCGTTCTTCTGCTTCTTCTTCTCAGCTGCCTGAACAATATTAGAAGTTTCCACAAAGCCAGTTTCCTTCTGCTGTGGCTGAGTTTCTCCTTCTCTTTCAGGTAACTGGTGGAAGATGTTTGCACTACCCAGCAGCCCTCCAGAAGCTCTCAGCCTCTCATCTTCGTCAGGCTAGCTGGTGGAGCATCAGGGTTTCTCTGTTCCTACATGCGTAGACTCACTCATACAGACACAAGCAAATCCACACAACAGTGTGGAAGACAGGCTGAATCTGACATCACCAACAAGAAGATCCACTTTGTGAAGATGCTCATTAGTTGGCACAAATTATGTAAAACCATTCTGCAAAGGTTGCTGATATCCAGGTGGGATCACCTTCTCTGGAAGCTCCACTCTGACCCTTCACCCGCTGCACGCTCTGTGAATTCAGCACAGACCTCAAACACCAACGTATGCTTGGACCTGAGCTGAACTTCATGCCAGCGCTGACATCTGCAGCTACGACCAAACAGCTGTCAGCAGGTTTCAGATCTTTACAGCCTTCTCCCCCCCAAGTCGGCTCCTACAGCACGACGTGTCTGCTGGAGACATAGCTGGACTGGCCATCGGGCATACCGGGCAAATGCCCGGTATGCCCGATGGCAATTTTTTGTTTTTATGGGCCGATCGATTTTTTTATTTTTTTTTGGAAGGATATAAATAATGAAAGGTGTTGGATTGGCCAATTGGTCATGATCGACTCTGGGCTGGACCAATTACAGCCGAGGAGGTCGGATGCACCCTCCCCCTTGTTTAGCAATCTTATAGACCATCCATCGGCTCTTTGTTACTTCGGAAACATGGCTTAAACAATTTCAACGACGTAATCCGATAACAACCGATCTCTTTACCCGTCGGCTTCCCGTGGCTGTCATGCAACAGGGGTTGTGCCAAAAAGTGATTGCCTGCCAAAAACTGATTTCAAAGTTTGCGTGTATTTTTTATGTGTAATATCTATGTTGGTAAATAGACTTCGGTGAACAGCGTTTACAAAGGGGCTATATATGGAATTAAATTTTTTTTTTTTTTTTTAACGGCATAAATAAAGGTTATATAAAAGTCACTGCCAAAGACTGATTGCGGCTTCTACCTTGTTACACGAATGTTGTTTGTAGCTCAATATGACTTTATGTCATCCACGAGGGATGCATTTGACATATGTTTCACATATTATAGCCCAACAAGTTACTTATAGCAGTTTAAATACGAGCAATCAGTTTTTGGCAGACAATCACTTTTTGGCACAACACCGGCTATTGCAGTTAATAATACAACAGCTTCTTGCCATTTTTTGTGTTTCTTTTTATCGCTGTGTAACTGAGTTCAATTGAAAGCCTGCATGCGCTAGTACCGCTTGCCACAAGTTCCCAGAATCCTTTGCGGTTTTACCCCTGAATGACGTCACATTTTTGGTGGGCCGGACTCTAGTCAAAATGCCCGGGCCGATTTTTTGTCCCAGTCCAGCCCTGACTGGAGAACATCCAGAAGAAACCATGTGAACTGTGGTGATGTTTCACACTGGCTTGTCGACCTCAGTCTTCAGTCACACCAGATCTGACCTGGCCTAAACCCTCTGATCCCCCAACACCGGACGGACTCGTGACCTGTGCTCACCTTAGCACACTGTCTCCACTCATACTTGCTGGGTGGTAACAGCAGAGCCTGAAGAGGAGATAAGACGACACGGAGATCAATCAAACCACCTTCATTAAAGCACACAGCATAATGAAGTGTGCAGCCATGACCTGAGTTTATGGCGGCTCCTTTCACCTGTGGTGGAAATGTCAAATCAACGTGACATTAACAGGCCGATGCTGCAGTTCAGTGGAGTGTTGGATCAGTGCTCTGGCCTCCAGTAAGCCAGCTGCACATCACCAAGACTCTGGGAAACTACACCCAACTCACCTCGGTGTAGTGGGCGATGGCTTCAGCCTCGCTTTTTTTGTTAAAGTAGAAAAAGTCAGCGTAGCGCTGATGGACAGTCTGAAAAAGGCTTTTCTCCGACTCTGCCAGCTTCAAGCACTGCTGGAAAATCTCCTCAGCCCTGAGGAAGCAGAAACGATGATGATGATGATGAATTTAGAGCCAAAAACAGAAGAGCGACTGCACTGCAGCTTTGTACAGACCTGCTCAAGTCCCTTTGCTCTGCATACAGCTGTGCCAGATCAGTCAACGCCAGGACGAAGGACGGCCTTATCTCCACAGCAGCTTTAAGGTGATGGATACAACGGCGCCTCCAGTGCCGCACCGCTCCTGTGGAGCAAGACATCACGGTTAGATTTGAGCTGTTTGTTGAGCTGGACCACAGACATGCCGTTTGTTTCTGTACTCTGGTCGCTGTTGGGCCGGCGGCTCTGCTCTGCAATTTTCTTCCTCTTGTAGCACAGAGCCAGCTGGTGGTGGATGAACGGCGATTGATCGGCCCGCTTCAGTGCTCGCTCCAACATATCGATCGACTCATCCAGTCGATTCTGAAACACATTGAAGGAGGTGAAACTCACAGGACCACCGAGAACTGGCTCAAAGGAGAAGATTCAGTGAATTAAACACAGGATAACCTCCCAGTCAAAGACGAATAAGGTAAAATGAAACTTCAGAGGGGCGTGGCTTACTCGGCTTAAGCCCGGGTTGTTTTTTCAGAAGCCCGGGGTCTTTTCGAGTGTAATTTTTTTTTCAGTTAGATGCCTGACTGACAACTGTATACAACAAAAACTACACACAATGTTCGAAGCACATGGCGCACAGTCCTAAATTCCCCCTAATTTTGGTGAGTCCTGTTTTAGTCCTGTTTCAGTTCTGGGTCTGGTTGAATCGGGCTTTAGTCCTCGTGTCCTGATGCAGCCCTGATTTGTTCTGCCCTGCAGATGTGATATATATTTATTCCTATATGAAGTCATTCTTTTTTGAACAAAACTGAAAACACAGCCTAATCAATCTTTTGATTAGGCTGTGTAATGATTTTGGGTGATCGTGGCTCAAGAGTTGGGAGTTCGTCTTGTAATCAGAAGGTTGC